TAGGCGGCGTCCAATTACTATGAAGTTACATATATTTTTGAAGCAGATATAAGTGCGTCTATGTCCATCATGCTGGTGTCTCCAGGTTCCGATCGGGTAATTTGTACTACGGTCACTGCGTTGGCTTAAGGTCATGTGGTCAAACAAAAACACGACATCCATTGAAAGGAGGAAGTGTAATCAGTAACTTGTAAGCACATTCGCGTTTGGAGGCTAGGTGGATCTATAATCATTGAGTCATTCTTACCCCAGGCGAATTCTTAAAACCACACACGCTCATTTAATTCAGTTCATAAAACGACATGGAGATTGTCGGTAACCGCCAAGGCTATTTGACGCCATTTGGCCCCTCTTGCCGCACGGTCCTGCACAGACGTAAGAAACAAACGTACGTACGGGACAAACCTGCAACCCCGGCTAGGTCGCGATGGCCGGGGAGCGCATCCCCGCTCGTACCACTGCCTGTCCGGCAACTGGACCACCACGTGCCCCTGACGGTCCGGTGACCTGGACCACCACGTGCCCCTGACGGTCCGGTGACTGGACCACCACGTGCCGCTGACTGTCCGCTGTCCGCATCGCCACGCGCCGCCGGTCCTGCACCGGTTCCGTGCTCGCCGCGCCCGGCCGCCGGGGCAGGGGGGCTGGGGTCGCTCGTTGATCACCGTCGGCGCCGCCGATGAGGGGGCCGCTGTTCCGGCGCCCGTGTGATGGGCGCCCGTCGCGGCGTCCAACGTCAACACTCGCCGCTCCGCCTGTGACCGGCCGGTCCAGCGCGCCGCTGCCAACCCACACAGGACGCGCCGGCAGCATCGTCGCTAATGGCCCCGCGGCGCCTGGGGCGCGTCGGGCCCGCCGCCGCCGCCGCGGAGGTCCGCGGCTGGGATGAGCGCCGCTCGCCGCCGTTTGGGGCCGCCGCCGCCGGTGCTTGGCAGCCGGGTCACGCTCCGGCCGCCTCGGGGGTCAGGCGGCGGTCCTGTCCCCGGGCGGCGCCGGCTTCTCCTGTCACCGGGCACGGCTCATTAATCACCGTCCGGTGTCGGCCTCACCCTGGGGACGCGCCGGCGATTACCGCGGCCCCGGCCGGCCGTCGCCGCTGCCGGCGTCCGCACACTGACGCCAGGAGTCGGCCGCCGGACACCGCGACGGTATTTTTGGACGGCGCCGCGGTCGCACCGTGGGTGGGCGTCGCCGTGACCTTTGGTCGGCAGCGGGCAAGGTCCGGCCGGGGCCGGCTGAGCCGCGGCCGCCCGTGTCCGCTGTGTCCGCCGTGTCCGCCTGTCCGCCTGTCCATGTGTCCGTTTGTCCGCCTCCTCGCCCGCCCGCCGGTCCGACGCCCGTCGCCCGACAGCCCGCCTCCGTTTTTGGCGAGTATGACGCGATCGCCGCCGTCCGGCGAGACAGAACGAGCCGTCCAGCCGGCGGGGGTCCGGCCGTCCTTCCAGCGGGGCGCCGCGCCGGCCGCCGCCGCTGCTGCTGCCGAAATGACCCGGCGCCGTCGCCGCGGGCGACGCCGGAAGCCGGGAGGTGGCCGACCAGAAGGCAGCCGGAAATGGCCGCGCCGGACGCGCCACGGAAGAGCGCGGGCGAAAACGGCGCCATCGGACGTCGTCTCTGATGAAAAACATTAACGATCTGGTGTCCGGCGGTGGCGGCAGTGGCAGCGGCAGTGGCGACTTCAGTGTCAGTGGCGGCTTCAGTGTCAGTGCCGGCTCCAGTGTCAGTGGCGGCTGGGATGTCTCTACGGTCTCGAACAGTCGTCTGTGTCAGCTTGATCTGTGGGGATCAGTTAGAGGCGAAGAGAGGAAAGAAGAGAGAGAGAGAGAGAGAGAGAGAGAGAGAGAGAGAGAGAGAGAGAGAGAGAGAGAGAGAGAGAGAGAGAGAGAGACGGCTAACGTTTCAGAATTGCCAGGTAAAGTCAAGAATATTCGGAAGGGGCTTCCCGTGGGAGAAGATCTGGCTAGCATTTACGTCAATCTTCATTTGCTCGCTGATGGACACTGTGTGTCGACTCCCCAGATAGCTCTGGACAAGCGTCCCGCAGCTTAATGGCGTTGCCAGAATTCGGAAGGGTTGAATGGTGAAACCGTGTTATCTGTTCAGTCAAACTACTGCGCGTGGAATCCTCGTCCCAATACGCGATTTTTCGAGCCAGCATGAATGACCTGTTCCGGACCGGACTTGGGCGAGCCGACTCCGTTTGACTGGAGGCGTATTAAGGCGGTTCAGTCCTCTGTCATTTGGCTGGAAGGTGGTCGTAGCATGGCCAGCCAACCCTGGGCTGTCATGTGACAATCAATCAGTGGCGGGGCTATCAGATTAGCCTGCTTGGCACCGACCAATCGCCACACGTATGGGGGGGGGGGGGTCACATCTTCACGTGCACTTACACTTGCGTGTCATCACCTCCACTTGCACATCATCGTCACATGCATTTGTCTTTACCGGAAAACTAGCATTATCCGTGTGACAGGGAGCTGTCAACTAGCACAGATCTGATGGGACCGGACCACCACCATGAGTCTTGTGTTTATCGCATGCTCATCACTCAGTGAATGCTTATCGCATGTTTATCACATCGCAAGCTCGCGCCGATAGAAGCCTAACCGGGGCACCACGAGTTGTTCAACACGCCGACAGCTTCCCGGCGCGCCTGATAAGCAGCCGACAGTGGCCTAACCAGGACCTGACCATTGTGCACTCACTCCGAGCTTTGGTAAGCGCTGGCGGCGCGTCCACCGCTCCGTCTGACGGGCGACGAAGCGGCCCATGGGGCGGCAGCATTGGACGGCCCCAATAACGGCGCTTCCCGACACGCTTTTCTGAGCTTGACCGATTACGAATGCATTGTTTCCCCCGGCGGTGCCGCCCGCCTCATGGCTGCGCTAATGTAGATTGACAGTTTAGATCCAAATTAAATTAAAATGTAGAAATTGGCCCATTTTCCGGAGGGCGGAGGTCATCGTGGCCGACGGTCCCTGTAGGAGGCGAGGTCGACGAGACGCGGCACAAAGGCGGGCTCCTGTCGACGCAGCCGATACCATCTCGGAATCGAGCCGAGTCAAAACAGCCCGCCCGCCATGATCGGAGAAACGCGTCGGAAACACGCGGCGCAGTGTCTTTCAAGCCAGCGGGGGACGGAGGCGATAACAGAGCAGGGTGCGCGTAACACAACCGCACCGATGTGGATTAGCTTGACGCACCGCGCGCCAGTAGCAGAGTGCGAGCTAATCACCGGGCTGGGGATGGTGCCCCGTGCTCAGCCATCAGATCTCTATGACGGAAGGGTTGGGTGTTTATTTTGCGCTCGTTTGGCACGGCCCGCGCCAGCTGTTCTCCTCGGCTGCCAACGTGCCGTGCCGCCGTGTCGTCGGCGTGGCTCTAACGGGCCGTCACGTGTCGGTTGACGCCACGCTCTCGGCATGCTCCAGAGAATCCCGCCGCTCGTCTGCGGCTGTTCCGGCCGCCGTTCCGATGTTTCGGTTCGGTCGCGCGGAGGTGTCTCGTTGAGCCCGTCGCTGTAGCGTTTTCACGAGTGGCATCGATTGGTCGGTCGATTCTTTCCATGAGCTCGACGGTACGTTCCGGGATACTGGCCTGGCTCATTCCGGGATCACTGCCTGGCTCGTTTCGGGACACCTGCCTGGCTCGCCTCTCTTGTGTTTCTGGCGCCGTTTCTCAATTTGTTTTTCTCCACCGCCTTTTCCCAAACAGTCTGACAACTTGCCCCTTGCACTGACCACCCATTCTGGGCACTCTGCCTCCTCGACCCCTGCGCAGCCTCCCCCTGTCGCCGTGTCCTGACCATTGACGTCTGACGTCACCCACCACGCCAGCGCCACCTGGCGGCTCATCAGCCCGCCGCCGCGTCCTAACCGCTGACGTCTGGCGTCACCCCCGGTGCCGGCGCCATCTGGCGGCGCTTCAGGTCGCCGTCGCGTCCTGACCGCTGACGTCTGACGTCACCCCCGGTGCCGACGCCACCTGGCGGCGCTTCAGGCCGTCGCCGCCCGCTGTGGTGCGCCTGACCGCTGACGTCTGACGTCACCCCCGGCGCCGGCGTCACCTGACGCGCTTCAGGTCGCCGCCGCCCGCTGTGGTGCGCCTGACCGCTGACGTCTGACGTCACCCCCGGTGCCGGCGCCACCAGGCGTGCTTCAGGCCGTCGCCGCCCGCTGTGATGCGCCTGACCGCTGACGTCTGACGTCACCCCCGGTACCGGCGCCACCTGGCGCGCTTCAGGCCACCGCCGCCCGCTGTGGTGCGCCTGACCGCTGACGTTTGACGTCACCCCCGGTGCCGGCGCCACCTGGCGGCGCTTCAGGCCGCCGCCGCCCGCTGTGGTGCGCCTAACCGCTGACGTCTGACGTCACCCCCGGTGCCGGCGCCATCTGGCGGCGCTTCAGGTCGCCGTCGCGTCCTGACCTCTGACGTCTGACGTCACCCCCGGTGCCGGCGCCACCTGGCGGCGCTTCAGGCCGCCGCCGCCCGCTGTGGTGCGCCTGACCGCCGGCGCGGCTCCAATGTCGGCTATTTGATTATGCGCGCCACCGGCGGCCGCGGCGCCGTCGACGTCGCCCCGTGGTGTATTGATTCATTAGCAGCGCAAGGGAATGGCCGCGCGCTGCAGCCCGCGGTCGGTGACGCCGGCCGCGCCTCTCAGCAGCCGAGTAAAAACGGCGGCGGCGGGGCGCCGGGCCTGGGCTGGCGGCCCCGCCGGCCAGCCAGGTACAGGCTTAACGTGGGGGCTCGCAGTCTGCCCCCGCAACGGGACTGGGAGGCGCTTCCCGGCTGGTAGTGATGAGCTGGCTTTGGATGGCAAAGTTTCAGCGCTATTGTTATTGTTGGAATTCCTAGAATTATCACCTGTCACATGATATTGCAGCGTGCTGAGCTGTATGAGAATGTCCCGATGGCGTGAATGCATACACCATCCGGTTATGCTTTATGGAGTCATTTGTCACTTATTGGTCTTTGACGCTTTCTTTTATGTGTTCCAGAGCCTGGGAGCTACGTCTGCTTCACGTGCAAGAACAGCTTTGAGTCGGCTTGGACGCTGCTGCAGCACGTCCAGGAGGACCACGGCGTCAACATCTACGTCAACCGACCGACGCCGGCGCGCGCATCGCCGACTCCGTCGCCGCCGCCGCGCCGTTTGTCGCCGCCGCCGCGCCATGTCTCGCCGCTGCCGCGCCACCTCTCGCCGCCGCGCCGCCGCTCGCCGTCGCCGCGTCCAGCGTCGCCGGTGGCCGGCCGGCTGGCGGCGGCGAGCGGCGCGGTCCCAGTCTCAGTGCGTCCGCCGCCGCCCCCGCCGCCGCCGCCGCCGCCTGCGGCGCCACCCACCTCGGTCCGCCTGGCGCCCACCTCGTGCCCGACGACCTCCTTCGACCTGCCGTTCATGCGCATGCCGCTCGGCGACAAGCCGTTCCCCTCCATGCTCAACGCGCCGTTCGGCCGGCCGTCTAGTCACGACTTCCGCATGGAAAATATCATCTCGGAGCAGTTCAGGCTGAACCCGCCGCTGGCGATGGCGCCGTTCGAGCTGGGGCCGCGCCCGCGGCCGCCGCTGCCACTGCCCATGGAACCGCTCGACTTCTACTCGCAGCGGCTGCGGCAGCTGGCCGGCGCCTCGCTGCCGCCGAGCGAGCTGCTGGCTCCGTCCAGCAAGCGGGCTCGCCTCTCGCCGGGGCCGTTCGGCGCGCCGGCCGGCCCCAGCACGTCCAGTCCGGGACCGGTGGGGCGCACCCCACCACCAGTGCCCGCCCGGCCCGGCCTGGCCAAACCGGCGCGCAAGGAGCGTCCGCGTGCCTGCGAACATTGCCACAAGATCTTCCGCTTCCAGAGCAACCTGATCGTGCACCGGCGCATCCACACGGGCGAGAAGCCGTACAAGTGCAAGATCTGCAGTCACGCCTGCACGCAAAGCTCTAAGCTGAAGCGTCACATGAAGACTCACATGAAGGAACTCGAAGTCAGTGTGGAAAAAAACTCGCAGGCCAGCGATGATGTCAAGGAAGAGGACGACGTCAGCGTGCAGGAGGACGACGAGGACGACCTGCTGGACGAGGACGACGAGGACACTTCCGAAACGGCCGAGGCTGACGGGCCAGAGGACCTCTCCACCAAATCGGCGGCCTCCACGCCGGTGCCTGCCCCGCTCACGCCCAGTCACCTGCCGCCGACGCCATCGTCGGAAAAATCATCGCTGGTTGGAGAACTGATGGACAAATTTGGACTTTCCAACATCAACGCCTACCGGGACGCCTACAAGCAGGCGCTGCGCGAGTCGGGCAAGGAGGAGGAGCCCACGAGCGACAGCGACCACAGCGACGGCGAAGGCGACAGCGAAGCGCACGATAGCGAGACTCGCGACAGCGAAGCGCGCGACAGCGAAGCGCACGACAGCGACGCGCACGACAGCGATGCCCGCGACAGCGAAGCGCGCGACAGCGAAGCGCGCGACAGCGAGGCGCGCGACAGCGAGGCGCGCGACAGCGAAGCGCGCGACAGCGAGGTGCGCGACAGCGAAGCGCGCGACGGCGAGGCGGGTGACGGCGAGACCCGCGACCCGGAAGCGCGAATCGAGCGCGGAGGCCGCGCGAACGGTACGCCGCTGGAGGGAAGCACGATCAAGGTGCGCGATGAGTTCGGGGGCAGCCTGCTGGCGCAGCAGCCGGCGCTCGATCTCAGTCGCGGCTCCCTCCTCGGCTCGTTCGAGGCGGCGTTCGACCCGGCGCGCCGTCTCAAGCTCGATCTGGGTGGCCGCGAGCCCGACCCGGGCCTCTTCCCGGGTCTGTGGCTGCCGCCGATGGCGCTGCCACGCGATTTCGCCTTCCCGCCGCGCGCGCCGCCCGACTTCCTGCGCCAGGCGAAGGCGGCGTCCGACGGCGCGCTCAAGGCGGCGCCGCGCGGCCTCCACCAGCCGTTCGCGCTCAAGCCCTCCGGCCGCATCGGACTCGAGTCGTGCTCGCCCTCGCCGAAGCGGGAGCGCAGCCGGCGCGACACGTGCGAGTTCTGCGGCAAGGTGTTCAAAAACTGCTCCAACCTGACGGTGCACCGGCGCTCACACACGGGCGAGAAGCCGTACCACTGCAGCATGTGCAACTACGCCTGCGCGCAGAGCAGCAAGCTGACGCGGCACATGAAGACGCACGGCCGCATGGGCAAGGACGTGTACCAGTGCCGCTTCTGTAACATGCCCTTCTCGGTGGCGTCCACGCTCGAAAAACACATGCGCAAGTGTGTGGTGAGCCAGAACAATAAGACGGGGCTGCTGCCGCCCGTGCTGCCCGGCCACTGACTCCAGCCAATCGGAGCGCGCCGCGGCTGTGACGTCACACCGGCGCTCGGTGATCGCTGTTTTGTACCGGCTCTAGTGCAATCATCGGCGGGACGATGTTAATTAGTGAAATGACATAATCCAGTTGTGTGCGTGCGTGCTGGTAAAGTACAATATTCTCTTCAGTATTAGGGACCCGTCTGTGAGGTCACTGCACAAACCAAATAGGGGCGTCTCCGCGCGCGAGCCGAGGTCAGGAGAGCGAATCAGGTCACAAAGGCGGTGAGCAGATATTGCTGGCAGGACCAAAGCCGTATCACTTTTAGATTTAGTGTTCCGATATCTTCGATGACGCGAGTGGCGAGATCCGGTATCCGGCATCCAGTGAGTGTCCCGCCTGCGGGCTGTCTCCTGCCGTCCACCGTCCTCACACGTACCCACCCGCTCCGTCGTGTTCAGGTGCCGGGCGGCGGGGCTGGTGGTTTGGCTTGAGATGCGGGCGGTCCCACGGGCCGGGGCGGGTGGCGGGGCTGAACCTAGTCACGGCGGGCGGCGCGGCCGCTGCACCACCCCAGGTCACCGCGCGCCCTCGCCGGGTCAGACGCCGCAGGTCGGCCGGTCCTGGGGCAGGGCGGGCCGACCCTAGGTCACAGTCACTGGTCTGAGGAGGCGGGAGTTCGGCCCTGGTCCTCAGACCATTCGGGCCTGGGGACTGAGCGAGCCAGCTGCTGCCCTGGGCCAGGAGTGTTCCGTCAGTTCGGACAGACGCCTGTCCTGGGTCACGGGATCGCCGGGGTCGGGGCGGAGGGGACCCGGGTTACAGCGTAGGTGAGCGTGCTACCGTCTGCGAGAAGTCCGAGGCAGGCTCTCTATCCGCTCCACGCACGGCGCGATCTGGTCAGTTTTGTGTTCTGCGTCGCCAGCGAAGTGCGCTGTCTGTATCGGTTTTTCTGTGTTAAGTGTGAGCTGGAGGCTGGGTTGCGATGCGAACTGTGAGAGCGCGTGGGGCTGTCCGGTATCTCCTCGTCATCGTTGTGCGGCTGAAAGTTTTCAGGCCTGGCCGCAGATGCCACGCCAGTCGATACATAGAAAGAAAGCACTGCATCTGACTGACTCTGTTTTGGATCACACATGTGAACTATTGGACTGCGCTTCCAGGGAGATGCATCTGCGATCGCCGCCGTAACGCCTGGCTTTTGGCCGCTCCATTCCATAGCTCTAAAACGACGTGATATTTCTAAGAAAGTCTGCTGTTTTCTCACCAAGACGTCATGAGACCTCGAGGCTTCTGTATTCAGCCAATTGCACCTAAGCAGTTCTATGCCAAAGACGTGCTGTAATCGACGTTTGGTTTGCTTCCGAGTCGTTTGTTTCCAACACTGCTTCTTGTGTTCTAAATGCGTGAGAAAGGTTTTCTGTCTTGATGGAATCCGTTGGAGGTCACATCCCAAAAAGAGATCGTTTTAATTTCACCCCTTTAAAGACGTCGTTTATTTTTGTTTCCATTCTCTACTCTTCCGGGGAACGTACCTTATTTATTTATGAACCGACAAGTCGGACTTTCAGTGGCTTTCTCCAGCGGATGGCAGAGGGAAAGGCCAACCAATGTAAGAGAGCGACTCATTATTGCGTCTCGACGCCATCTTGTCTGACATCAGCATCTATTAACCCATGGACCCTGTGAGTACTACTGTTATATAAATCGTGTGCACACGAACTCCCCTCACAAACGTACATATTTGTCTACGTATGTACGAACATGCCTGAGCTGGACTTGTGTAGGTACAACAGTGCTCGCTGTGAGTCGGGCAGTCACAGCCACCTACTGTTCCTTAATTTATATTTTTCGATGTGCATTCAATGTACCGACTACATAGAATAAACGTATCTGTTAAAAGGGTGTGTTTGATTCGGAAACAATCTGTGTGAAGCCAACATTTCTGGAATGGAGGCTGTGCATAATGTAGGCCTACCAAACATTCCTCACCTGGCGTGCACAGGCAGTGTGATTTGAGTATCATGGTGAGAGCACAGAAAGATTTTGAGCCAAAGTAGCATGTGTTTTTTGTTAGAGAAATATACCATTCTTTAAATTGCCGACTACCGGTTATTTCATACGCTACCATCGGCTTGACGCTGCCCAGAGATTGTTGCAAACGTCTAAGGGCCCAGGGTGATGATGTGAATCTTACAGTTACTCTGAAGCTGCGCCAAGTTCTTTTACTCCTTTTCAATGGCCTTCATATTTGCAGAGTTTTTAGTCCCAGATATGCTATCATTGCCAAATGCACGTGTGGTTTTTCCGGTTTCAACTCCATCTATCATTGATGAATTAGATAGCAGCAAATTGATACGTGCACTGCTCGGTATGCGTCGAAAACAATAGCAATAAACGTAATATCAACAAAAAAACATTTATAGTCTCTGGAGTTCAACTAAAAACAAAATTAAAGATCATAACTCAATGACACGTGAAGACATCGTATAGGTAGGCTTCTGTTTGATAATGTAATTATTTTACAATAATCCCTCTTATTTCTAACCTGTCCCGGGCGAAGAGGGCCATTAATAGAGATATCACGTCTGTAGAAAGCATGAAGGCAGGAGACGTTTCTAAGAACTACGTTAAACTTCCATCTCCGGCGACCGGCCCTGCTGATCTTTCTTGTTTTCTGCCGATCTGTTCTGGAAAGGTTGACTACAAAATCGGGTAAACGCTAAGTGAACTATGCAACTGGCAAAAGGCTGCTTACAGATGCAGTTACCTTTGAATCGCAAGATCTTGATCACAGACATAGTTTTATTTCGATACCGTCATACAAGCAAGCTCGATCAGGTATGAAGGTATCATGCATTTTCCTGACAATGTTAGTAGGAGGAGACGTGAAAAACACACATTAAGGTATGTCGCGAAAGCAAAGATACACAAAATGGCAATAGTTATCAAGATGTGGGCGTGATGAGCGACGATGGGAACAACTATGCGCGTGCTGGTCGTGATATCCTCTCACACGTGCACACTTTCAGAACTATCATGGCTTCAGCAGTCAGGTCTCCAGGGTAAAATAGAGTTTCGCTGATATTTGGGGAAGCAAAATATATTTAAACACACCAAGTAACGGCAGCTGTGAATATTCGTGCAATGACAATGGGTAACAACATACGACACAAGGACGAAAAGGCTTTGCCTCCTACTTTTCTCCGACGTTATGAATTGAAAGGTCTTATATTGAGGCGACTGTCTTCAATATGCCAGGAGGAATGGGTTAAGCGACGTTCTGATGCTAGATAACGATTATAACGATAACGATAACGCCAATATAACGATTATATTGGCCGCGCTCTGAGCGTCGTCAATATTTAAATGATTAAATATAGAACTGCTGAGATCACATCGTTTATGGCACCGAACGCGCGTAGGCAGCTTCGATAGCGTAGAAAAGACAATGTTTGGCAATGACAGTGAAATGACAACGCTTTCGCTAAATAGCTAGGGCCATAGTGAGGGTACGAGCCCAACTTCCTCTGTCGGATCTATGATTGAGTAGCCTGGAGAGCTGCTGCATCAATGCGCCGTCGAGGGGCCGCCAGGTGGAAGCACGAAATGTCAGGGGGGTTTTGTTTTGATCTATTTAGAGGTATACTTAGTGTCCTTGGATCTCTAAAGCCGGTACCATTAGCGGTCTTTGATGTCGTGTAGGTGTTCGCTAAATCGCAGTTTAGGCTGGCGCTTTGTTTTATCAGTGAAGTAGGCCCCAGAAATAAGCGACGGACAGAAAGTGATTTCGGTGGGTACCGTTTTTTTCGGAATGCACGTTTCCTTTGCACCGGTGCCGCATACGTTGAACACTTCGCTGCCATACAAGCGCAACGGTGTGACAGGTTATGGATCATGATTTTGACAACCGGCATTCCAACCGAAATGATTTTAATAGATGGACTGTGCTTTTCCGACTTCTGGCCCAGAGCTTACATATGCTTGATGGAGATAAGACAGACAATAAGCATCGTGAGTTCGCTCCTTCTTAAACATTATGGTTTTGGGCATTGCGAGTTCGCCTGCTAAGAATAAGGAACTTTTAGCGTACGAACAGGCACTGGTTAAACGAAGATTCTGGCATGTGTTGGAGTATTCTTTTTAGCATGCCCAACGCTTCTAGGTGCGCTACTCTTCACTATGGGTACGGCGGGACATGTTAGGTATTTAGTGACATGTTTCAAGGTGTGCTTAATATCTTCATTTAAACAGTATTATCTGAGGTGTTGATTTCGCTTATGTTCGGCATAAAGTCCCAATCGCCGGAAGCTTAGTTATCTGGATGAACGACATATTTTGTCAGACCAGACTAATATACGTTCAATTTTTTAATGAATGTAGTCCAACATTTTGATTCGGGGTATTTCTGTGGTTACAGTACCCACTGAACAGCATTTGCTTGTGAGAGCCTTAAGTCCACCATCTGATCGCGAAATTCCAGTTCAATGGTGGAATTCGGTGGCGGAAGTTTAACCTGCCGCGATGCTCGGCACGGCCCGCCGCGCACTCTGACCTCATCTGATTTTGAGCGACCACTGCCACCAGCCGCAGGCCACCCCTGCCAGGAGCAAATTACGAGTGCTATCACCCCGTCACCGTCACCGATACCCTGTAAATTAGTTCTCCGCCAAAACGGCGAGGGATCTCCGTGGTCAGCGAGATCCACGAGACGCTCGGGAAAGGTAGTTCAATATCTATCCAAAAGATGGCAGCACAAACCGGAGTCGTTTCTCGCCTAGCTTGACGTTGAGTATGCATCACGCTTTTGTCGACCGAGCGAGAGTCAGGGCCGACGGATCACAGGAACAGACAGAAAGCCGCCTCACACGTGGCGAAATTTGAAGCCGGCCCTAACGCCGGCCCTACTTGGAACTTACTGTCCATGGCTCTACGTGGGAAGAAACGAGGCGAACTGAACCAACTCCCCCCCTCGCCCTCCCCGAGGACCCGTCGCGTCCGCGGCAGAATGGCATGCACATGGTCTGATGCTTATCACATAACCTTGGTGGCTTCAGCATCATGCTTATTTCCACCGAGTCGACAAGAAGGATAGATGTGATAGCATGCTAGTTGACCTTATTTTTACCGAATCAAAAGAAGGCGACAGCTCTTTGTCTCAGCAACGCCCAACGGCACCTGTAACAGCCCAGGTGTGCCGGTCTTGCGTGGTATGGTGTAGAGCTAGCTCTTCGTGGGTTGAATGTTCAGAAGCTAGTCTAATCCAACAACCCATCCGCCTTTCCACAAACTCCTAATCCATGTCGGTGCATTACGCAAAAGTAAAGATATTGCCCTTCAAAATTTGTTTGTTTAAGGCCGTCTCTTTCCAACCCGCTTTGACATGAAGGGTCAAATGTGTGGCTACATTGCGTCTTTGTTTAGTCTACTCTGATATTTGCAGCCTGTTTCAGTCGGTTTGCGCTGGGCGCTGACCAAATCCAATCGGTTTGCGCTGGGCGCTGGCCAAATCCAACCCGATCCTAGGGAATATCCCGATCCAGTCAAATCCAAACCATGGAGCAATCCTAAATCCATGCCTTCACTTAGCAGAATTCTCACCTAAACCGCACATGTCTCTTCATAGCATATCATGCAATGCACTACGCAGTTGTCTTGTGTGTATCCCTTTTGGAAATGATGTATGCAGTTTCCTCATGTCTCATCACTTAAATTTATTTCTCGTACGCGTGAAGATGCGTTTATGTCATGTGCTATTTACCTGACATCGAAGGGATGTTCCGCAATTACAGATGCCAGTCTTAGCACAAGAAATAGAGGAAGTGTTAATAATGAGCGCGCGATGTTTAATATTTGTAATATATTGAAAAATGTTTACAACGTCGGTACACATTCAGTGATGTCTAAAGTCGAAGACGTTCCGCGTTGATGATTGAAATTCTACTTAATAAGCTAATGTGTCTCACAAATATGCATCTAGCATCAGCCATAAATAGACGCTGAAGGTTGCAATATTTGGCCCCGTGGTATTCCAATTAGTCCTCCCATGGGGCTGACGACTTCACAGGCGATATAAACCACATTCACAGACGCTTCTGTACAGGTCGCAGGTAAGCAAAACAAGCATTGCCTAACTCCGAGAATGAGAGTCTCAAAGCCAAACACACTAAATACCATCTCAGTCACGTGTCTCCACCACTGGGAAAGGACTCATTGGGTTCTTGGCCACTCATTGGACGCTCACTGTGTTGGAGCTCCGCTTCCGTCGCTCTCGGTGGCATGGTGACTCTCTTCTCTCACTTCTCTCCTCAAACTCGTAGTGATTGAACCGACGCGTACGACTCGAGGGACTCTAACTAATAGAATCTCGACCTGCGAGCTGCTATCACAGAATGTTTGTAAGCGTATTAACCGTTCCAAAGCCTGGAGACTGACTCGGAAGACCGCCGCACAACTCATTAGGTCGTTATCTCTTTATCGACCGCTTCAAAACATTACAATGGCCACGGATGTAATATCTTGAAATGTAAGCTCCTTGTCGCCCGCATCAGGTACTGATAAATGCACTGCACATTAAGACTGACGCTCGACCTGGTCACGTAACCTGGTGACACAGAGACCGGTGATGAAGAAGATGAAGATGATGTCTTTTCGTGACTTCGAGTACATGAGCACGCCTGGACAGGTTTCTGGTAGGAGATGCAGGTGATAAATACTGGAGGACGGTATATCATCTGAACTGGTTGGGACGTCGTTTAGGGTACATCTCAATGGTTTGGTATTCCACGCAACTGCGTTATCCGGGCAGTCCTGGTCACTCTCACTGGTCACCTCTCATCACGCAACTGCGTTATCCGGGCAGTCCTGGTCACTCTAACCGGTCACCTCTCATCACGCAACTG